CCTCTATTTCAAATTCATGGATCCGCCACTTTAAACTTTGATACCTATGTTATGAATGTTTCGGCACGTTTGAATAAAATGAAGGTTTAACTTTTCATGTTTTCATACTTTATTTGTTATGACCTTGTGAAGTAGGCACTCTTTAATCGATTAAATCTGTCTTTAATACATTAAAAGCCCGTAGCTTCCAGGGGTGGTGGTGGCAGACCCCAACCAATTGGCCCGGGCAGCGAAGATGCCCCGAGCCCGCGTCCGTTCTCGGCCCTGCTACTATTAAGCAATTAGGTCTGTCTTTTCGTTATGTTTACAGGTTTCTCAGTTCGATTAGCTGATGGAGCTTCAGTTTATGAAGGTCGTCTTGAGATATATTATAACGGAGAATGGGGAACCGTTTGTGATGATAGATGGGATTATGAAGACGCACATGTGGTTTGTCGTGAACTAGGCTATGGAAATCCAGTGCGGACCCTCATCAGTACTGGATACCAAGGAGCATATGACCAAAGCATCTTTTTAGATGATGTTGACTGCATTGGTTGGGAGTCTAGTCTTTCGTCGTGTTCACATTCAACCATAGGTGTACATGACTGCACTCACTCTGAGGATGTTGCGCTTGAATGTTCTTCAGGTTTGTAGGATACAGTTATGGACTTGCTTTTAAATTCTCAGTTGTTACAGCGCCACCAACAAGCAAAGCCGGTGCGATTTTTTTCCCGTACGAAACATGTGCATGAAACTTCACTCGGGCCATCTCGGATTGACTCGACTCGAGTTCGATACGAGGAACAAGAGTAGACACTTCGCAATGTCGTGACACTTGAGTTTTACTTTTATTGCTCTTGCTATGTTTACCTACGGTAGGCCTATGAAATCTTACGGATTTATGGGATGTACGTGTGTAACAGGGGCGGATTTAGGGGGGAGGGGTCCGGCCCGGCCCCGCCCCCCCCCCCCTTTTTGGAAGGTAAAAAAGAAGAAAAAAAAGAAAAAAGAAAGAAAAAGAAAAAAATGATAGCTCACAACGCCTCAAATGGTATTTTCGGCGTCTACAACACAAAAATTTTGCGGGGGAATACCCCGGACCCCCTAGGGCATTGTTGTCTCGATCGGCCGAAATTTCGGCCCCCCCTTTCGCCCCCCTTTTGGATATCTCTGGATCCGTCCCTGGTTATGGCCCTTTAAAGATGATGAAAAAGGGAGTCCAAATGCGAAAAAATGGGTCCTTTTTCCTGACTGATTTTGGAGCATTAATTTTTGGAGGGCCATAACTTTGAAAGTATTAACATAACATGTCTAATTTTCACAAAACCCCAAGATCTTATAGAGTTTCATGTGTGTATTTTTTTTCTGGGTCGTTCTTTAATGTCTTTTTTTTTTATTTAATGGCCCTAAATATGGCCAGTTGCTATTTCGTGCCGATTTTTTGCGTGTCTCAAAAATTGAAAAATTTCAACAACCTTTGAAAACGTCATCTCAAGAAAAGTGTATGTGCTCCGATTATACAGTAAATTTGACAAAGTAGAAATGAATGTCTGATTCTAATATTATTCTTTAAAATATAAATGAAAATTTAACTAAAATTGAACCATAGTCAATTGGTTTAGGAATTAATAAAAATGAGGCCACGCTAGGCCTCCGTTGTTCTATGTCTGTCTCTTATACACATCTTGTATGTATATAATGTATATATGTATATGTATGTATATATGTA